GGTGGGAGTGTGGGAAAAGTGCAAGGGTAATTGATATGAGCAATCCAATGGAGAAAAGTGAAGGGGTTATGACTGGAGACTCCAGACTGTGTAGGATCCGAGTGTGGAAGTGGTTGGGATTCTTGCTGAGGAAACGGAGGCATGGCAAAGGAGGGGCATATGAATGGCTGTAAAGCCACAACAGGGGAAAGTACTGCTGTGTGTGAATGAAAGGAGGCATCAGGGAGAAGTGATGGAAGAAGACAAAGTTGCTGCGTGTGCATGTGTAAAGATGGGGTAAACTGAGGCAGTGCAGGATCTGTGTAAAGAGAGGAGTTACAGATGGAGAGACTGAGGGCACAGTCCGTTGGAATAGAATGTGTGTGGATGGGTTCTCAGCACCATTTACTTAGCTCATCTGCACTGGGAGGTAAACTGAGGCAATGAGCTGCAAGGGTGAGAACTGGTATTTTGAGGGAGGAGAAACGGAGGCAGAGTCCTTTCCTACGTCCCCCTGAGTACTTCCCTCTCTGTCTCCAGACCTACAATGCGCCGCTGAGCCAGCCCAGCAGAGCCAAGTGGAACCAAGCAGAGAAAATTCATGGAGGGGTCCCTAGCAGGCGGCCTGGCCGCACCAGATCGTCCTCGAGGCCCAGAGAGACTACCTGGCCCAGCGCCAAGGGAGGACATCGAGGGTGGGGCCGAGGCTGCCGAGGGGGAAGGTGGCATCTTCCGGTCCACTCGTTACCTGCCTGTCACCAAGGAGGGTCCCCGAGACATTCTGGATGGCAGAGGTGGCATTTCTGGTAAGAGGGTGGGCCCTGTGGCCCCAAGGGAGCATCCAGCCTGGTCCCCAATGCTCAGAGAGAGCTAAGGCACTCAGCCCAGCAGGAGCTGAGTTGGGATTCTGATTTCCTTTAGGTCCAGAGCCTTCTCTTTGCACTCTGCTGAGTTTCCCTTGCCTGGCTCCCTCCTCTGAGCACATTAATCAGGCCCAAATGCGCATTTCAGCACCCTGAGCTCTCTGCCAAAGCCCACTAGTTTCCCAGGTGTACTCCACTCTCATCAGCCTATCCCAGCCTCCTCCCTCTTGCTGTCTTGATGAGTCTTGCTTCTGTGAGCCATGGGCCAAAACAGCTTGTGCCCTCTAGTGGCTAGTGAGAGATTGGGTAGTCAGGGATACCTGCCACCGCTTTGTGCCTCAATTTACCCAGCAAAAAGGTATCTCAAGCTCTTCCTATGTCAAGATTTGTTATTCACTCATTAAATACTGAGCACCCACTATGTGCTAGGCTCTGTTCTAGGTGCTGGGAATATAGCTGTAAACAAGAGCCAGGAGTTTCTGCCCTCAAGGGGCTGACATTCTAGTAGAGGAGATGGATAACAAACAAATAAACAAATATCTTAAGGGCAAGTAGTGACAGATGCTGTGAGGGTATTAAACAGAGCGCCAGGATTGTGCCTAGGGGATCTAGGAAAGCCTCCCTGAAAGAGTGGTATTTGAGGGGAGCACAGAATGAATGGTGGGAAGGGCCTGCCAGGTGCAGGGAACAGCAAGTGCAAAGATCCTGTGGCAGGGAGGAGACTGGCATGTTCAAGGACCAGGTGGGAGCCTGGCATCCTTGGAGAACAGTGGGCTGATGTATCAGACCTCTCCCTTCATCTTCTTGCCCTGCCCCAAAGCTTTGGTTTTCAGGAACCCCCAAGCGCCTCATAGGTTTCCTATCTTCCAAACTCTTTGTGTGATCCTCTTGTGTCATTCCAGAAGAACTCTATGGCATAGCCATAGTTATTATTATTCCATGCTAGAGATGGGGAAACTAAGACCCTGAGGGGAGAAGTCAGCTGCCCAAAGTCACACAGCCAGGTCTTTGCAGTCCTTGACCTGATCTGGCTCACCTTCGCCGTTCGTGATGCTCAGATGTTTACAGAGCACTGTCTTGGGGCTGAACGCTGGGGCACAGCGGTGACCATTCATACCCCATCTCTGCTTTCAGGGACCTCACTATCTGGGGCTAGGGAGACAGACATTTTGACATCTGGTGCTATGACAAGGTGACTGGGGCTGTGATAGGGAGAATACCTGGCCCAACCTGGCAAGTGTCCAGGAGTCCTGCAGGAAGTGGAGGAAGCAGGATGAAGGACAATGAATCAGACCAAGGGGGCAGCAGGCATCAAGGTGGGTGGCTCTGCACATGCAAAGGCTTGGAGGTAGATGGTAGCACCTGCAGGTGTCAGGCAGGGGGGTGGCAGGGTGAGGCCCCTGCAGGCAGAGAGTTTACCCAACGCTGGAGTCTCAGTGCTCAGAGAACCTTGAAAATCTCCTCCTCCAAACCATTATGGACTGAGGTTCAGAGAGGCAAGACCTTGTCCCAGGTCACACAGCTAGCCAGGGAAGGGACAGGACCTTGGCTTTGTGGGAGCCCAAGGGTATAGGTTCTGGGGTCCCGGGGTTCCCTCTGGGTCTGGTTCTGAGGGATTGG